ACATGTGAGTTTTGTTCTGTCAGCATCTGGTAAGCAACAAATTTGATCATTCATTCTATTGATAGCGCTTAGGAAAGGTTTTTATCAAATACCTTGTAGAGAAGGCAACAACGTCCCAGTCGCTGTCCTGTTCAGCAGGTGTAACGTGATTGTCGGCGGGGAAGTCCGCGTAACCAGATCCGTCAATAATCCAGACAAAATGTGGAATGTACAAGCTTGCCAGGTCGTTTGTGAAGACAAATATTTGCTGAAAAGAGTGCTTCATCGTGGGTGAATCAGTTATTTTTTGTCGCCGACGTCAACTTGTGAAAGTGCTGGTCGCGTACTTTGACGCTGACGCTGACGCAGCGCAAGCACTTACCGGATGACCGCAAGGCAAAACTCAGCAAACCTTTGCTCCAACGAAATGGTCGAATAGTCTCAGAACGTGGGCATAGTGACAGTTGTCGACAAGCACAGCGTTGCAGTTGAAGCGAGGAAAACTGCCGGATCCTAGAAACGGGATTAAGCCTACGGATCTGAGTTCATATGCTTTCAACCTACCTACACGGCCAGGGTTCAGCAACACGGGAACTGCGCCAATCAGGTACAGACCGATTTGCATGTATATGAAATCCATGCTGTTATTTAAGCACATGGCTACATGTGATCCTTGTTCGATACCATGATGGTGGAGGAAGTTAGCAGCCCTGTTTACATTCTCAATCAACTCGTGGTAACTGATGTATCTCCTTTCACCAATCTCATCGATCTGAATGAAGCAAATATCAGTTGTATATCTACTATATCAAGGAAAGCAACCAATCTTATGAGCAGGCATCGTTGGTGTTCTAGAGCAGGCTAGATGACCTCTATTATGAATGAAGCTGATATCTGGAGCAATCTTACCAGAATGAAGGAGCCTTATTGGTGTTTTAATGAGATTTTAGGCAGCAGTACACTAAGTATTCAGAGGAACGGTAAAATTTACAAAAGACTATCGCAGAGCAGCAACATGATCGTGCTAAAAAATATATACCGGTGAAATCCGAGCAAACCTCAATCAAGCT